AAGATGAAAGTGGGAGTTTGGCAAAGCTGCATATACAGTTGCCTGGAGAAAATGATGTAGTTGAAAATAATTCCATTAAATAGTGGGAAATTCAGGGCCCAAGGTAGACTTCTGTTATGAAGAAGCGTTGGGGGCATCCCCTAACCACATCTCCTAAGCCGCTTTGAATTCTGAACCAAATCAGATGGGCCACAGGTATGATGATTATTATGAAGGTATATTTCAACAATATTAGAAACCTGATTGCATAGACAGAAATTGCAATGGAAAAAAAAGAAATATAAAACAGATTGTTGTCTAATTCACGAAGAACATACTGCCTTTGCAATGCAGGAAAAGCAACTAGTTGTTGCATTAATGAAAATCAGAACAATCCTGAGATCTGACTGCTTTGTAGTCCCTAACATTTGCAAACCAGGCCAGGTGTTTAAAAAAATAAATAAAATATAGTTGAAAGCAGCAAGGTCAGGAAGAAGAAGAGAGACTGAAGATGAAGTAGCATTTCAGATAGATAATGTAAAGGAAAAAAAAAACTGAAGTTACAAAATACTATATTGACACTCCAATGAAAAATTTTTTTAAAATGTAAGGTTTTCAGAGAGAGGTATGAACCAAGGAGGAGCATACAGGGATCAGCTTGTAGCTTTGTATCACAAAATAAATTGACAGATACATTCAGATAGCTATCTATCTATCTATCTATCTATCTATCTATCTATCTATCTATAATTTCCAGGAAAACTATCATTGTCTGGAAATCTGATAATAGATAAGCATGAAGTTTCAGAGACCTCTAAAGTCTTATATTTATATCTGATTTTTTAAAAGTCAATTATATTATGTTGAGAAGGGGCACCTTATCATAAGAGTTTGAAAGGAAAACACTGAATTATGAAAGCAGCATTAAGGAACAATAACTAACTCAAGATGAAGTAGAAATCATGTGGATTATTAATTATACTAGTATACCTCACAGCTACTAGCTAGTTTGAGAGTTGTTGTGCAGGTCATAAATTCCTGGAGACTGGGGGAGAGTAACTGAATTATCTGTCTATTAGTCAGAAGGGAAAAGGAAGCTCTGGTAATTAAGGAGCTGTCACCTGCACTTCAATACTCAGAAAGCCCGGCACAAATCATCAAACAATCAATTTGTAATCACAGAGAACTGAGAACAGAGCTCTGAGAACAGAAAGACTGACATGCCTTTCAGAGAACAATTTTGTTTCATGATGAAGAGACAGGAGGGGTAGGTAAGAGGGACTTCAAGAGATAGAGGCTGCATGGAATTCAGTCATACATTTTCATCTTGAACCAGAAATTCTTTGAACTGCTGAACTCAACGTAGCAGTAGAGTATATGACAGGCATGCAGTCTTTAAAATCACTTGAATTAAAATAGATTTTTGTTTCACAAATTAAATACTCCTCATGTACCACAGATATATGAGATTTTTTTTATCTACAATCACAAAAGAATTCCACCTCTTTGGATGAGCACAAAGGTGATTTCACCCAATTTTATAGGACTGTCATAATATTGAAACAATCAGTATGGCTCTCCTATTCTTCCAGACAGCATGTCTGTGCACATAAATAATCTTATCAATCATCTCCTAAAAAATGCCTTCAGGAGAAGAAGTCTTGCCAAAATAATCATTTTGCTCTTATAATGAATGATAGACTTAGTCTCAACTACCAATTTATCCTATTGATATGTTTGGCATAATTTCTCTAGAATGAATCCAATGAGTATTATAACCTATCGTAAGAAAGGGAAAAAACACTATTATCCCCAAATGTGGCATACACTCACTTGATAGTCATTTCAAAATTCAAGGGCATTATTTATCTCAAATAATGTGCAGGTCTCTGAAATTAGTATTTTATTTGAGGATTTTAGTGCTTTCACATAGTGATCATTGCTATACTTCCTATTTGCTTAAGGAGAGAGTAGCTAATAATTCAACATTGCAGCATTTATTGGGACTTGACTTAATATTGAAGTCTTCTTAGATAAATTCACTAGTTCAGTATTTAACCATATCCATTAATGCTTTGACAAAACTATACCTAGTACAATTACTACAGAAATCCAAATTAGTTAGAAATTGAATATAAAAATAGGACTTTCACTTCAAAAAAAAAAGAATTATAAAAAGAAGAATAACAGCCTGTAATTCTAACATCACTGCAACATCTGTTCTCATGCAACATAAATACAATGCAAATTTTTAAAAAGCCCCTCAATACTTAAGTGTAGTAGTACTTTTCATATAAGTATTCAAAAATATTCTATGCAGAACCAATATTGCTATTTTTTTTATTTATTCAGATCTGCTGGTAAAATACATAATATCCTAGTTTTAACTATTTTTAATTTAATAATTTTTTGAAATTACTCCACAGTAGTAAATAAAAATATGTACTGTTTTTGACTAACACCTAATATTCCATGTGAAGACACCATAATTAACCAGATATGATGGATATTTAGATTTTAGCACTGACTTTGCATTGAAGGGAAAAAAATTCTGCTATATATTTATATCAAGAATTGTCTGAGCCACAAATAAAAATACAATTTAATATATATATTTTTAAAAGCCAAGTATCCATGAGGGTTTTCTCAAGGTCAAATAGAAAAGAGATACCACCCAATCAGCTTGTTTTGGAGCAATTAGGGAGCCATGTTTTGGGAGAATTAAATGAGATAATGCTTGTAAAACCTTGGGGGAAGGAGAAAATAATCAGGGCTGAAATGTTCATACTAGAAGTAGCCTGGAGATGGTGCTAGAGAGCCAGCGGTGAGGTTGTCTGCTACTAGGGGAGCCAAGAGAAGTGCAAGTGGGTTGTGAACCCATGAAATTGGGATGGACCAGAAGAAATACTCTCAAGGATAGGAAAATGGCAGTTAAGGTGATGAGGTACAAGGGGTGTTTCAGAGAAGATTAAGGCAAAGTGTAAGCTGTTCTCAGGAGAGTGGAGTCAAACAGTGCCCTTGGAAGTGGCTGACAGACAGGAGGGGAGAATACTCTGGAAGCAAACGAGAATTACGAAATTCACTTATTTGATTAGAAATGTGGATGCTTTGTATAGAGAATTCTTGCTAAAGATGAGTTTTTTAAATTCCTAAACCATGAATGAGGTCTTAAGAAAAATATGATATAGAAGAAAATATATTCATTGAGTTGAAAATACTATCCCTCTAAAAACTTTTCCCAAATCACTGATTTCCCCAACAGCATTTCCTATTATACAAACTCCAGACCAAACAGTCGAAAGAAGTAGGACAACTTGACACTAAGGTTCTTGCAGCTCTAGAATGAGATGATATAATGCAATGCAATATATTACATGTCCTTATAATATACTAAATATTTCATCAGTCACCGTGGGATTCTCATTAGCCCTTGTAGAAAAATCATTAATACACAAAAAAGTTCAATTCCAGCTTGAACAAGGTGAAAAGAGAAAGCAGAAGCCAAAGTATAATTTAGTTATTAGATCTAAATGGTAGAATTTTTACTGAAATGAAAGCTATAAGACCTCAAAGTTTTAGGCATACTATCAGTGTTCTGAATAAAAGCAAGAAAAATAAATTTAGAAAATACATTCTAACATCCAAAGAACATAGTGAAAAAAGAACACTAGCCATGTCAGCCAAATATTTTATTTAATTATGTTCCTGTCTTTAGTAATTTTTTTCTATAAAATCTAAGAATTTCTATGAGATATTCAGATACAAACTACAAGATAACCATTTAATGTATTGGGAATATAAGCTTTAACTATAATAAATATGGTCACACAGAAATATGTAAACAGTTTTTATTATTTTAAATGTATTTAATTGGAGTATATGTTTGTTATGGTAAGCTTAATTTGCTAATGATTTTTTTTTTTGGTTAATGATATTTTAAATAAATGTATCACTATTGTGATAACTAAACTACCTATCTTCATGAGGAGTAGGCATTTTTGTAAATCAGAAAACTTAACACCCTATCTTTCTTTTTGTAGATTTTTCAAAATAAAATATACTAAAACATTCAAATCCAAATGCAACCCAAGCCTACATTCTATACAATCACCAGCATTGGAAAATCAAAAGACCAATTTCCAGCCAGTTATTATTGACCGGTGTTATACATTATGGAGAATTTAGGCCTTTCTCAAGCTCAGGAGATTATTTCAGAGTACAATTAGTTATAGGAAGCAAAGGAAAAGAAAATGTCAAAGAAATTCTAGACAATGAGGAATAAAAGGTAAAAAAATTTCACTCCTGAGCTTGAGAACAATTGACAACATAAAAATGGGGGCAGCCTCGGTGGCTAAGCAGTTTAATGCCGCCTTCAGCCCAGGGTGTGATTCTGGAGTCCCGGGATCGAGTCCCACGTTGGGCTCCCTGCATGGAGCCTGCTTCTCCCTCTGCCTGTGTCTCTGCCTCTCTCTCTCTCTCTCTCTCTCTCTCTCTCTCTCTCTTATGAATAAATAAATCTTTTTAAAAAATGAATAATGCTTCAAACAGACACAAATGGACATAACCCCGCCTTACATAGATACACACTCACAAACAGACACTTGTAGGATGGACATATTAACACCGCTGAGACCCATATTCATCTATCAGTGAATCTTTACACAGGTATTCATATTTCAATTAATTTCTTCACTTTCTAAAACTCATAAAGTTAGACAAAAAAAATGAGCTACTAGATACAAGACGGATTGAACAGAAGGTAAATAATATTATTGAAAAAGTGGGATTGTTGGTAGATCTGAGGTAGGTAGAAAGGAAGAATGTTCAAACACCACAGAATGCTATCACATTTTTAAAATGTCAAAAAAGATCAAATCTATTTCTAACTAAAGAGACAAAATTGATGTACACTCTAACCTGTGTGGCAAAGTTAAAACTGAAGTGGTTCATTCAAGACCTGGAAAAAGAAAGCAAGGATGAAGGAGCCATTGTATTTTCACATACTACTACACATAAAATACCTTTTTACTATATCTTCCCCATTCCAGCACGGCAGCCCATCAGCAGCGGCTAATTCATTTACACAAAGCTCATCAGCCAGGCCTCCATAGAATGTCCTGTACAGTCGAAGGCTGTTGATAAATTCCCTGAATAAGAAAACAAAGAAAACAATTAAACCCAAAAATCCATAATAAATGCCAATATAAATGGTATAATTTGTTATGTGGAAATTTTAGAATGGAACTTTTTTTTTATTTTCACCGCTTATTTTTTATAGATTTTCAATACTCTTCAAACAATCAAGATAAACACTATAGTTTTTTTTTTTTTAAGAATGCTAGTATTCAAATTTACTCTTTGGAATCCAAGTTTTCACAGGGTATGAATTTTATATAACTCAAATCCAAGAAGTTGTGATGGGTACACATACACACACACACACACACAGACACACACACAAACACACACACTTTTTGTAGTATCCCTAAAAGCCTTTACTAGCTGTGCCATCTAAATCACAGTGATACTAACTACTTACTTTCCTGTAAATAAATGCCAGAGGCTTTTAACAAGCTAATCAATTGCTTACTAATTAAAAATTTATTAAATTTGGTTGGTTTTACTATTTCAGTCTTCTCTTTGGTATATAACAACATAAAATATATGTCTTCACTAACTATGAGAAAACCCAGATATTTAACATATTTTAAAAGCATGAAAATATAAGTTGTTGGAAGGAATAGTATTTAATATATTAACTGTTTTTTTTTTTTCCTTCTCATGCTACATCTCTTTCCCGCATCAATTATGGGAAGGGAAAAGTCAACAAAATGTACTTTGCTTTTTAATTTAAAAAGCCAAAACTTTCAAGTTTTAAAATCAAACCTTTGAGGTCCCAAGAACTTTAGCATTTCAAAGAACTAAGCCCTAAGAATCTATAGTTCTGAACTTTTTTACATAAGCTAATATTTTGGACAATGAAATGAAAAGCCACTAGCTTAATACGGAGGAGATGTCTTCTGGACTAGAAGACAGTGACAAGAGAAGGAAAGCAGAACAGAAGTCCACAGGTTGAGTAGTTAAAATGCAGCGATTATGAAATTGCATCCTCCACTGATATTTAAAAAATAATCTCTTTAAAAATGAGGTAAAAAAATAAAAATAAAAATGAGGTCAAAGAGGAGGAGCTCTAAATTATAGCTGAAATGACCAATTTTTAAAAAAATTAAGTGATTTTGACAGTACTGATGCTGAACTGTATTAATTTTAAAATTCTCTCTCTTAGTGGTTTTCAAAGAACTATTTGTGGAAATGGCTGGAGTTGTAAGTAACAGACTATAGGAAGGATAAATGTCATTTTCAAATATGTAAAATCTGAAATCATAGATCAGAAGTTCCCATAGCAAGTGTTTGCTGAGGATTTAACCAAATATTTAGCAAAGCTTGATCAGACATGGGATGATAACATGACTGCAGGAAGCAAAAATCAGACTTAACTTCTAACTTATACTCAATTCCCAAAAAAGTATACTATATTTTCTCACTAGCAGAGTAACCACTCATTTATATATATTTTTTTTTTTTTGAGAAGTGGGAACGGGGAGAGAGAAAAGGAGAGAAAGAATTTTAAGCAGGCTCCACACCAGTTCAGAGCTTGATGCAGGGCTTGATCTCAGAACTCTGAGAGCATGACCTGAGCTGAAATCAAGAGTCACACACTTAACAGACTGAGCCACCCAGGCACCCCTATACTTATTTATACTTTAAGTTGGTTTCCTCTACTAGAAAATAAGTGCCCCCCACCCCATGAGGGCCATATTCCTACTAACTGGAATGCATGAACAAATACCAATTCTCGGGATCCCTGGGTGGCGCAGCGGTTTGGCGCCTGCCTTTGGCCCAGGGCGCGATCCTGAAGACCCGGGATCGAATCCCATATCAGGCTCCCAGTGCATGGAGCCTGCTTCTCCCTCTGCCTGTGTCTCTGCCTCTCTCTCTCTCTGTGTGTGACTATCATAAATAAATAAAAAAAATTTAAAAAAAACAAAAACAAATACCAATTCTCATGTTGCAGCTACTAAACTATAATGGATGAAGCCAACTGATTCTTTCCTAGAGGAGTGGGGTTTAATAAATGGAAAGGTGGGGGATCCCTAGGTGGCTGAGCAGTTTAGCACCTGCCTTCAGCCCACAGCATGATCCTGGAGTCCCAGGATTGAGTCCCACATCAGGCTCCCTGGATGGAGCCTGCTTCTCCCTCTGCCTCTGTCTCTCTCTCTCTGTGTCTCTCATGAATAAATAAATAAGATCTTTAAAAAAATTTAAAAAATTAAAAAATAAATAGAAAGGTGTGTGTGTGTGACTCATCCTGAATTCCATTCGCTATAAATGATCATCTGTTTGGAATCAAAGAGTCTTCTAGAATGAAGAGGCCTGGCACAAATGACTAGAATGTTGAAATCTCCAAATTGATACTATATAACTGAATTGATATTTCTTATGGACCTCAAACCTCCTCCTCCAACCTTGATGAATGATGTCTTCACAATAAATAGATCATACTGAGAAAGCTTTACATCTTTCCTTCCTAGTCCTCTTTCCCAGTGCTACTCTCATTGCTTTAGTTAAAGCCCTTATCATCTCTCTGGAATGACTGCACTAGAGTGACATACCTCTCATCCTCCAAGAAATCCACCTCTTAAAATTCAAATCTGATATCCCCTAGACTATGTTACTCACTTGCTTATAGCCATCAATGGCTCTCTAATCTCGACAGCATCAAAACCAAACTTCTTGAAGTGGCATATAAGGCACACTCTCACCTCCGTTTCAGCAGCAACCCAAACCATAGTTTAGGCTTCCACAAGAATGAAAGACTTGCTGTTCCCCAACACACCTTCCTGTCTTTGCAGGAGTTTTCTCAGAAAGAATCGTGTCCTAGAAGATTTCCACTCATTCTATAAGCCAGCAGCTATCAGTTACTTGTCACAAACTACAAAACACTATTGAGTACCAAGCTCTGTGTTGGCACTATAGCTAAACAAGGCAGTCTCTATCTTCTAACAATGCACTTGCTGGTGAAAATCTACAATAATAACACAGTTTTAATGGAGCCACATTTGAGGACAGAGAAGGAATCAGGAAATATGTACAAACAAGATACTACTTCAGTGTTTCATGCAAAAAAAAAAAGGCACAAGCAAAAAACAACAAAAAAAAAACAATAAGCAAATGTAAAGAGGAAAGAGAATATTGTGTGTTCATAGTCTCATAAGCAGTTTAGCTAGTGGGGAGTGAGCTTATGGGAATTACAGTTAAAAAATAGAAAGAGGCCAGTTTGTAATCAGCCTTATTGGTCATCTCAGTGCTATTCACCAGGAGAAGAAATAAAGGAAAGGAAATATAATTCTTTCAATGTTCCACACTATACTTAGGATTGCTCTTCCCTTGCTCATATTTTCATCTTTCCATGGTGCATATCACTTTCTATTCTAGCATGTCATGTACTTACTTACTATGTTTTATTGTTTCTTATCTGTCTCCCACTCTAGTATAAAAGATTCAGGCAGGCAGGGACTTTCTGGTTACTTTTTTGTTTGTTTTGCTCACTAATACAGATCTTAAAACAGTTGTGAAGGCATATAGAAAGCTAGATAATCAGTAATTAAATTAATGAATGAGTTAAAACTAATTAATATTAAGCCTACTCTCAACATGTTTGGTTTGGGATTTCTTTAGAACATACAGAAAAGAGAAATCAAGTAGAATGTTACTTTCAGACTTACTATTTATAACATCATCTGGGGGTCTTGCAAAATGCAGATTCAATTGGATAGTTCTGGGGTGGAGCCCAAGATTCTACTTTTCAAAGAAGCACTCAGATGATGCTGAAACTACTGGTTCAAGAACCATGAATACCATGGATGTTTGCTGTTGGATATGTAACCTTGGAATCGGGAGACTGGATGTGTAATGTGGGAGTCATTATCTCCAGAGGTGGTGACTGAAGTCATGAAAGTGGATGGAATCTCTCAGGCAAATAACAAGTAGTAAGAGAAAGTCAAAGGAACTCAGAAGTAGATAGAAATGAAGAAAGCAAGAAAATCTTCAATGATAAGAGCTGTGAACATTAAAGAATAAGGGAATTTGAACCTAGAGAGGTTACCCAGAGTATAAAATGCCACTATGAGAGGTTACTTAAAATAATGAAAATGTCTTTCATATGTAGTCCCTCAAAAATCTGTGTGTTGAGACAAGGCTTTTAAAAAGTAAACAGGCTCAAATGAGGTCATCTGAATAGATCCTAGTTCAAAAGGACTGGTGTCCTAACAATAAGAAGAGATGGTAGGAGTGCATGCACACAGAGGAGAGGCTATCTGAGGGCACAAGGGGAAGGTGGCCATCTGCAAGCCAAAGAGAGTAACCTCAGGAGAAACTAAACCTGCCGACATCTTGATGTTGGATTTCTAGCTTCCAGAACTGTGAGAAAATTGATGTCTTTTGTTTAAGCCATCTGGTCTGTGGTATTTTGTTATGGTGGCCATAGCAAACTAATACAATGACGAAAGCATCTGAAATAGGGTAATGGACTTCAAATTTGCAGTATGATGAGTAGTAAAGCAAGTGAGAAATGAAAAGTAGAGTCCCAAAGACGAACATTAAGGGAGGAGTGTGTGTGTATATGAACATGCAAGAGATTTGAAAATATTTGTGTATGAAAGGGAAGGAGATAACAAGGGTTTGTGGTTCAATAGCTTGTCCTTAAATATCCCAATTCTCGGCATTCCAAGCACAAAGCCACTCTGAAGCTAGCTTTAGTATGCGACTTGCTCTGGATTCTAGTAAATGTATGCAGGAGTTATGTATGTTCCCTCCAAGCTTAAGCTTTAAGAACCAGTGTGGTGGTTTGCCAGCTTCTGTTTCCCTCTTCCCTGATGACTGGAAATATGTCACAGGGAGGCAGCTTTGTCACTTTGAGGCTTAAAGCCAGGGTATCTTGAGCAGCACCCTCCGCTGGTCTACAATGTGAGTAGGCTGTGGAGAAAAATGCTTTTTTTAATTTTTTTTTTTTTTTGTCCTGAACCAATGATAGGTTGGGGTTGTTTGCCACCACATCATAATTTAGTTTTTCTTAACTGATAAAAAT